AACTGAACTTGATGGACTTGATGGGAAAGAACTTTCAGTATATAAAGCACCCAAAGAATGTTTATGCAAAGTTTCACATATATTTGTTTGTGGAATTTTTATGTCACATTAATGAGTATTTTAAAGTACTTTTTCAATTAATTTTGTTAGTTGCACAATATAAATATGATTGTCACTTTATGTCGCATTTAGTGATAAAATCGAAAGTCCACTATGCTTTGAAAAAGAATATATTGTGGAATTAGCATTAAAACCTTTTGCCATTGTACCTCATGCTGCTGCTGCTTGTGAGTGAATCTGGTCCTCTCTTGGGTATTTTTATGGAAAGAGACGCATTTGTTTGAAGTTAGAAAAGATTGAATGTATGCAAAAAATGGCAGCATACTATATTGCTAATTCAAAAATGGAATTACCATATTATAGTATTTTGAGAAGTGAAGAATATGTTCAAAATATATTAAAATATGCTAATTTATTTCAAGAAGATAATGATCTGGACAAGGATTCAGAAGAAAATTTTACAGAATCTTTTAGTGAACTTGATGGTGAAGATCAATTAAGCCTAGAAGATATTTCGAATCTTGATGCACCAGAAATCATTAATGACCTTGATGAAATAGTTATGTATTCTGGTGTAGATATTGCAGATGATGAAGAATTTATAAAAGAAAATTTTGATGAAAACAAAGAAAGCATGTGGGATCCTCAAACTGCAGCTGATATTTTTTCCATTGAAAAGATTAATAATAAGATTATAGTGTTATTAAATGAAAAAATTGAAATGTGATTAATAAAAAATCATTGCAAGTGTTTGTTGTATTGTTAAATTTGTATAAAATTATTTCTTTAATTTTGGCAATTTCAGAATTCATCGGACAATTCAGATTTTCAGTCATTGGGCGAAATTAATCTCACCCGATTTCAGACTGGGTGATTTGCCAATATGTATTATTCCACCCACAACTCTAGTTCATAGTTAAACAATGGGTTATTTTCCACAACAATTAAAGAAAAAATTAGTTATTACTTTATTATCATCATCATTATTATTGCTATTTATAAATTTATTTGTATTTAAAAAAATAAATAAAATATCTATTTAATTAAATAAACAATATATTTTCTATATACAGTCAGACTTCCATAAATGCACCCCCCTTGGGACCAAGGGACAGTGTGCATTTATGGAGAGAAGCAATTTCATTGGTCACAAATGATACACAATATTTTAAAAACAGTAATACTAAAATAGCTATCCATTGTAGTTTGTTTTGATGAATTTATTTTTTTTATATTGATATATATTTCAATTTTATTAACCAATTTTATTTGTTTGTAGCATTATTTTTCTTGCTGTAATAAAATGAATGTACAGTTTCATGACCTTTAATGCTTCCTCAAGGCTTGATGTCATCTTCTCAAAATTGTCAGCAGGTACATTCATTTTATTTTTATATATTTCTGCAAGCTCTTTGATTATTTTATCATCATCTGGAACCTCACAGACAATAATTCATTAACCTGCATTTTATGAAGGCATTTAGTGACACAAAGTCATGAAATTGGATTGCATTACATATTGGAAATTATCCAATCAAATCAAAAAATTTGCCGATGATTTCTAAATTTATCCTAGTTACATGATGAATTTTATACATTAGTCACGTGGGTGCATTTATGGAGGGAGTTATCATATGAGTGGGACTAAAAAAATACCATGCAGTGCAGAGTATGGAGGGTGTGCATTTATCACTAAGTCCTGAGGTTGGGACCAAGACATAGCATGCATTTATGGAGATATGACTGTATTAATTTTAAGAATAAATCAAGTATAAATCAAGTGTAGTTTAAGTATAATTTAAGTACAGTTCAAGTATGAAATAAAAGAGAAAATAAATGGAAAATAAGTAGAAAATCATGCTTATTTTCTACTTAAATTTGCAAGAAACGAGAATGTTTTAAGTGTCTCACCATAATAGTCAAAATGTGCTTAAATTACACTTGAAATATGTTTAAAACATACTTATTTCATGCTCAAAACATTAATTAAATTCTACTTAAATTAAGTGTGTTTTAGTGGTATAATAAGTATGTTTTAAGTGTGCTGCGAGCGTGTAAATTCAATTACAGCTCGGGTTGTGTCCAATAAAATATATAAGATAAAATAAATAAAAAGTCCAATATATAAATCTCCCTGTATTGGCACACAGCTCAGGGTTCTCAAGTCTATACCAGGCCTCTGTATCAGCACACAGCTCAGAGCCTACTCAAAACTCTATTTCAGGTCTCTGTATCGGCACACAGCTCAGAGTCTAAAATCTCTCTCTCTTGCGCAATCTCTCTCTACAGTACTAATGGAAGTACTGCTGGCCTAAAAATGATAAATAAAATAAAATAAAAAGAATATACAAGAAATATTTACAACTATACCACTTGAGGCGTCCCTACAAGCAGCAT